ATAATGACCAGAAAATGGATCCACTACCTGTGGCCAATAAGCTGGGGCCAACTCGTTTTAAAGCAAAATTACTATATTACTTACTTGTGCTTTTACTTTATTTGCTGTAGGCCTCCAAGCTCTCGGACCTGTGATGAACCTTTGCTCAACATCTCAGTTGCAGGCATTGTTTTTACATTCGCTATGATAGGTACAGTGTACTTTCTCCGTCTGGTGTTCTTTTAACCTCGTAATTTTGAAAAACAATGTGCAGGTCCAGATCATATCCATAACTTCCACTTAAGACCCCACACACCTCTGAAATTCCAATAACTACTGCTAAACTTCATCCATTCCTTGGAGAGGGGGCCCAGGGCTGGCAAAAGTTTTAAGTAGTAGGCTGATAATGTATACTAGGCAGCTTTGGAACTTGCACCAAAGGCACAAGTTCTTGAGGGCTGCGGCATCAAGGGTCATTTTGAATTTAGAGTCTCGGAAGTTTCCAGGGGTTTTCAAGAGGTATTTTCCATCGCGGACACCATCAATGAGGTCAAGGATAAATTGAAGGTCTTCGTGCAAAATTGTCCTTGTGGTATGCAAAATTTTGACCTGTGACTATTAATTTGCAGTAAGGTTCAACATATGTGCAAGAACACATCTTCTTACCTGGCAGTTTCTTTTGTAGTGCTAATGCCCAACATGACACTGAGTTTCTTTCACCAAACAATGAATTTTTTTCAGCTAATAATATGTATCCGGTTATATTTGATCTGTGGCTACTACATGTAGTAGCTCAGGGCTTGCCAGTAGTTTAAAAATTCCCTTTCCAACTGAAATTTACAGACAACAAGAAATTATTCTAAACTGCCTACAAATTGGCAACAAAATTAATTTCTTGCAGCATAGCTATGACTTTTATTGTGGATTTGCTTTTGTACTTTGACTTTTTGCTTGGTTATTTTGCATGTGCTGCAAAATATCTCACTAAAAGTGAGGTTAGTTTATTATAGCTCACCACTTCACTACATCCCATCCTTTGTGCAATATCCTGGAAGCTACCGTGTGGCAGGAAATTTTTTGCAGGTTCTAATTTTTGTGATTCTTCCAGCGATCCACAGAAATAAGTTCCTGCAAATAAAAATTACCACTAACATTTTTCTCCCAAAAAATTTAGTCCAGTCTGAGAGTAAATAAAATTCTCTAACTTAACTTCGCTACACAAAAAATACAGTACTAAGAATTCGTGTCTGTTCAATCACAACTTGTCTCTTTCATTCAGAAACAATGAAATAATGGTTTATTGCTTGAAAATATGTATTTCTATCACATGTACTCAATAAAAGAGAAAATATTTTCAATGCTATGTACTGGGTACTTTCTAAAAATCCTAAAAATTAATTCCCAGCAAGAAAAATCAATCTGTCCTAATCGCGAAAATTAGTTCCTGCAAAACACAGAAAATTGCCAATCCACAAAAATAAACTCCCGCAAAAATTTTTTTGTGCCCCCTCCTCTTCCGTAGGTTTCAATGTTGTAGCTTTGCAGCTGAAGTGAACTGCAACCCGACTAAACAACTTGTTTAATCATGACATGCCAAATGATATTCTACAAAATACACTATCCATTGTTATTTTCATTTGACCCTACTCAACAAAGAACAACATTGTCTGGGGGAGAGGGGTGGGGGCTGCTTTTCCCTTGGGGAGGGGGAAGGGGGTAGTCATAGCCTGTGTTTTTGCTTATATTATACATGTACATAAATACTATAACATGAACTTGTGCAGCAACATGTGGAATCAATGCAGATCCATTTTTATTTTACTCTCAGCTTTTACATTTTTATTCGCAATCATGGAACCTGTGCCATGGCAGCTTAAGATTGCATTTCATTTCTTTTGGCTTTGGATCCCTCATTCTTGGCATGGTACTGTTTGCATCAACATTTGCCTCTGAATTATGTGTGAGTGTTTTCTTCTTGTTGTTTTTTTTATGGGAACCTCAGTAACTTAAAAAGTACAGTTTGACTCCCGATAACTCAAACCTTCTAGGGAGACCAAAAAAGTTTGAGTGATCAGGAACTCGAAAAGTGCAAGGCAAATAACCAGAAACAGGGAAAAGAAGCAAATGGATGGGGAGGGAATGCAAGTATCATGCACTCTCTACTTCAAAGGCAGCATTGGATGACATAAAAATTGTTATTTTGAAAAAGGAATTAAGCAACAAATCTTGATTAATATATAGGGATGGAAACTGAATTTGAAGTGGATCAAGTGACATAAAAGTAAAGACAAAGAATTGACATGGTTGTTTTGAAATAAAAGAGATTAAGCATCGTGTTTACGGCAATCGGCAAACATAAGACTCAAGTTGTAAAATTTTCAGAATGAGAAATGAGCAGATAAAAACAGCTTCAAATAATTTATTGTTATGGAAAGAATTAGTGTGAATCTGTGGACTTTCGTGTAGTTATAATGAACTGTAAACGATAAGTAATAATTATCGAAAACTTTGTCACGTGGTACAAATTCACGTTTGCATTAAACACGATGCTTAATCTCTCTAAATTCAATGTTTCGGACTTCAGTACAATGTTTTTCTTTTTCAACTTGTTATGCACTTAAAACATGGTTCGGGTTATCAAGGGTAAAATTATGTAGAAATGACCTGAAAGGAAACAAAAATTACTTTGAGTTTGCGGGAGGTTCTAGTTATCATGGGTAAAATTATAGTAAATGTGTAAAGGAAATCCAAGAGAAATCAACTTTAGTTCGAGTTAGCACAAGGTTTGAGTTATCAGGAGTCAACTGTATGCCAAGTGCATTTGTTAAGTTATATAAGCATGCAGGAAGTGGGAACATCCTTACAATCCCAGGTGTTCTCAATAGTTGCCAATAAACCGGAGTTTATTAAATTTGGTTCTCCCTGCAAAGTTTACTTAACAAAATCCCCAGAAAAACCCTGAAGGATCTTGATAGTAGAAGGAAAGTGGCCTAATGCAATTTAATAGTAATACCAAAGCAAATCCTACAAATTTAGGTCCCCACTCCCCAAGAAAGGAAAAAAACTGGATCACAATCCATTCAAAAACACCCAGGCTCTATTCTCCAACCCAAACACACAGGGTGCAAAGAAAATCATTTTTACAGCTCGTCATTTGGGCAAACTGAATCTAGCATTTACTAGCCCACAAGTTATTTCAACTAGCCCCACTGCAAAAGCTTTTTGATGAGCAGAATTGATTTCACAGTTCTTCTGTTATTCAGATTCCTCCAAAAACATCACTTGCCCGTCGGGCAAGTTAAAAACAGAATTCACTAGCCAGATAGCAAAATCCATTAGCCCCGGGCTATCGGACACTACTTTCTTTACACGCTGAACACAGCACCTCAGATAGTGCAAACTTTCAGTCACATGGCCTGACATTGCAGCGAGGTACACTATTAAAGTCACTATGAATAATTCTCCTTTGTTCTTTCTCTTGTTTAGCAAGGATATGCTCCTGAGTTGTACTATTTATGTCTCTCATTTGGGATATTTGCTCTTCTTACAACAGGTAGGTTTGACACATGTGTTAAGCTTCTGTCTTATTAGGCAAATGGTCTAAAAAAAACTGGTACATTGTACCAGCGTATGATTAAATTTTAGTGACGAGTTTAACTTGTTTCAGTGCTCGAATTTGTTAAAGATTGTATAGTTGCTGTTTTGTGAGACGTATAGGAGACACCAAGGCCACTGGTTGAGTTAATCAGCTTACATTGTGTAAATTGTGGTCTGTAATTGTAACAGTGGCGTACTAGGTGGTATTAGGGAACAATTTACTTTTTTGAAATCTTGGCTGAGAGATAAAAGAAGCGTGGTGGAGTTACAAAAAAAAATACTAGTTTCAAAGCTCTTGATCTCACCCCTCTCCATATGAAGTTTAATGGCCGCCTCAGGCCCCCTCAGCCATATTGAAACCAGTTTTTTTGAAGAAGAAACATAAAATGCGTTATTGACCAAAGTTTAGAGATCAAGATGGCTGAATATTGGCCAAGGTTTTTACTCTCCGTTTTTATGGACCAAAGTTGAGGTCGCAGAAAAAGAGCAAGGCCAACATCCTGTCATTTTGATGTCATGCTTGGTCAATTAAGCATATTTATTATATGGCTAAATCCCAAGCGCGCAAGATAAAGTGAATCTTGTGTTTTGATTGGATACCAAGCAGGCAAGGAAGGCTTGTCTTATTTGCGTATCTCCTCGGAATTTCTCGCCTTATTTGCGCAAGAAAAGATCTTTCTGTGTCCATTTTGGCCGTTTAATATAGTCTTTATAGAGAGGAGAAGTCGTTACGTCATGTTGCCATAGTAGTAAATTTCTTTAATGACAACAAACCGAAACTTCCCTTAAAAAGTAAATTCGCACTGTTTCAAACTTGATCGATCTTATTCACATTCATTTAATTTGCCAAATGTTAGTGAAATTTTCTGGGTTAAATCCGAAAGGACCGTATCTAAGTTTAGGAAAAGAAAGAGAAACTTTTTGTGTTGTGCTCACCTACTCCATAAAATAAAATGAAGCAGGGCGTTTCGTGTTGCAGTCTTGCAACAACGGCTAAGAAATGCACAGAAAAGCGTGATGCACGTGCAAAGTTGATTTTTTGCCAATCTAAACCTAATCGCGTGTCACGAGATTTGAGATTTTACGGGTTTAAAAGGTGAAAGTGAAGCATATGAATAAATTAAATATCGCATTAATGCACACAATTTAGGCTAGCCGGATCCTAGTATCCTAGTCTACGTTGGAGGCGTTCGAAGGGGAATAGAAAGGTAGAAGTTCGGGTGCACGTGGAAGTAGGAAGGGATTCCCCTTCTCTAACCCCCCCCCCCCCCCCCCCCCTTTTCCCTCGCGCACCCGCATTCAGGTATGCGGTTTTACAGTAAGTGTGTTATGCTCTTTATCGCTAGTCTCCTTCGCAGCCGTTATTAGGGTCGTCACGCAAAGCTCTTCCCTACTGGTGGGAGGAGCGTTGTGTGACAGCCCTAATAACAGCTGCGAAGAAGACTACTTCATGGTTGGCTATTATAAAGTGTACTCAATACAAAATTCTGTTGTTTTACAGGATTTCTGGTCATCATGCTCCCGTTTTGGTTGATGAACTATCTGTGGCCAGATTCTGTTCTCAACCGACGTGAACGGCGAGGAATTTGCTATGAGCCTGTAAAGTGCTGCACTTGCCTTTGGCATATTTAGAACGGTGGATTCTTCTGTTGTCTAGGTTACACATGTTACTCTACAAATCTCGTTCCCAGGGTCTTTGTTTTTCCCGTCTCCTTTTACTGCAAAGGGCCTGGGGACGAGGTAACATAGGGCGACCCAATAACCTACGAATTATAGGTGTTTATATTAGGTTTCAGTTAGTCCATGCTTGCACCGCATGGGTAAACTTTACGTTAGCTGTTATAGAGTACTTAAAAACACCAATATTTATATAGCTGTTAATGTATTTATGAACGGAGTCAGTTAATTTGATTCCCTGAAAGTAAAAGTGTTTCGAAATTGTCCGTTATTTTTTGAAATGATACTTGCCATAAACAGGTCAGCTGGTTCAGCTTGGTTATAAAAAGAAGTAACAGTCATTCTTTTAGGGAAATCAAATTTACAGATTCTCCGCTTGATACTGGTGCGTTTGGAGCAGCTCGGGTTTTTCAAAATACTGTCAATTTTTCCTGGATTCATGCGGACATTTTCTTTCTTTTTTTCTTTTCTTTCTTTTAAGCGCATTTATAATACATACGCTCTATACATATTTGACTTGTGATCATAAAATAAACATATAATCATACCTTTTAGTGCGGTAATCACACTTCTTACAAAATAAGCTTTTTTTCTTGTGTCAGCCACCAGTCTACACAGGAATTTTAGAGAGTTTTAGCTTCACCTATACAGCAAACGGCAAACGTGAGGCTGACGTTTGAAAAGTTCAAGTTTGAGCAGATAAAAACAGCTCAAAACAATTCTTATGGATAAAATTGCGTGAAACTACTAACTTGTGTGTAGAAATGATGAACAGTAAACGACAAGTAAAGATGAAACTTGGTCACGTGGTAAAAATTCGCGTTTGCCGTTTGACGTAAACGTGATGCTCAGCCAAATACGTGGTTAAGATACGAGTGTACGTGACAACTGCTTGTAATGTACAGTCGAAACTCCCGTAAGCGATCACCAGAAATGCAAAGACTGAGTGGCAGCTTACGGGAGGTGGTCGCTTACAAGAATCGAACTATAGTGCACCTCTTCCGAGAAGAGGTCCAGGCACATCTACTTTATGGAAGATAACTTAATGCATGCAATGTCTAAGTTACGCCATGTGTAGTTTCGTGTTGTCACTTAAGTACTTTTCGTCAGCCAGACACAACGTTGACAACATTTGCATAATCGTTTTTACTCGACTGAGCGCCGCGGTGCTTATAAAATTTTCCACGCCTCAAATACGGCGTCTATTTGAGGGCGGCGTTGAAAGTTGGACGCGACAAAGAGTTGTTGTAACTAAGAAATTGTTATTTTCCGTGTTAAGCTAACAGAATTGACGTCTTATTTGACTATTTGGGGGCCGCGGTGCCTATTCGAATAAATACGATATTCGTATTCTCTGTAGAAACTACAGGAGCTAATGAGCGGCGACTTTCTGTACGCGCGTTCTGATTGGTTAAAAACCTATGGTTTACTGTGCCGGTAAACTCGTAGAAAATTGAAATAGTTTCCGTTTTTCTTTAAGTAATGATATTCTCCAGTGTTAACCTCAACAACAAGCTATCATAGTTTCACGGCCAAGAATATGAATACACTACGTGTGATTATAGAGTTAGTCGAGTTGAAAGCAGATCTCTGGTTCACTGAGGCCCCTAGGTCGCACAATTGAAATATTTGTTGTCAAGTAGTATTGTACATATCAAGTTTTTCTTGACCTCTCCTATAGTTATTAAAGTCGTAGTAATGAGACATTTAAAGTGCTGTTTGTCGTGTCACCCTAAATAATTTTGCCGACAGGATAAGCGCTACGAAAGTGGCAATTGGGGACAGCGAAAACCTTAGACTGCCTACAACTACGAAGGTTTCTGTTTACAAAGTCTCTGTTCCTGCAAATGAGGCCCGGGGCTACTGAACAAAATGTTATACGGGGAGGATCCGCCGAGGTCCAACCCCTTAACCTTTTTTATTATTCATTCAAAATATTTCCCCAAGTCTGATTGGCTACAAGCACACGCATAATTCACCGTAACCAGTTACTTATGACCAAATTGGAAGAATTTTTGTGTTTAACGCGGACATGACGTAAAAAATGCAGCCCTCTACAGTTTAAGGCACCGTTAACCGAGAAGACCTGGGGACGAGGTTGAGTTGTTTTGGTTGTGAAAAACAAAATGGCGGACATTTCACTCGTTTCAAGAGTCAGGGGCACCCAACGGCAATTTTCGGGAAAATATCTGTTCGGAAGACGATTTGAGATCTAGAATTTTCGGAGCATTTGTTGTAAAATTTCTTGCTTGCCTGCCTCTCCTAGGATTTTCGAACATCTTCAAAATGGTATAATCACTCATTTTTAACGGATTTTGACCCTAAAAAAGGCCACCTAGAATTTTCGGGGGCCTTTTCCTGGCTGAAATTTTCGAGAAGGTAAGTTTTTATCCCTATAATTTTCGGATCACTAGATTTTCAGCTAGGAAATCCGAACAGATGAAAAGTTTTTAGGGGATAAAAATATGCCTATATCTACCGTTTGAATACTAAAATACGTTCAACAATGCTATGTTAAGTGGTTTTGAACTATATCCTCGTTGGGTGCCCCTGAAGAGTAAGAACTAAAGCTGGAGCTAGGCGAAATAAGAGCTAAGAACATGGCAAAAACAGCAAGAAGACAACTCGGAGGGCGACATCTGCTATTTGGAGAATATTTGCGGAGCTGGACAAACCTAAACGTACAGTATTGAAGATGAACTTAACATCGATGCAGGTAAGCATGTTTCAGCTATGTTTTTAAACTAGGAATTATTTTGAAGGAATAATACAGCAGTTAATGAATTCGGCTTTCGTAGGATATCAAGAATTAAGCAGATCTCGGAGGGTGTTATCCATCTTGGTTGGTGGATAACACCCTCCTCGATCTGCATAATTTCATATCCTACTCAGCCTCATTCATTAATTGCTAAATATACCATTTTTGACAGAAAAGGTACGCCTCTCATTTACCTTCCATTGAAAAGTGGCATCCAATACACCATCTTTTAAACACAAATAAATAACTAATTAAAAGCAGAAAATTTTCTTTTCTTTTCACGGCCTTGAAATGCGCCTTTTATGCAAACTCATAGCGGCACTTTGGTATATACTTGTTCAGTTAGATTAAAAGGGACAGGTTCACGGTTAAGCGCATTCTCCTTAATTAAATTACTTTTTCCCAATTCATTATTAATTCTATCGGTTAATAATCCCACGCACATGTATCTCAGCGATCTCAAGTGTAATTCAAAGTAAAAGTGTATTTCAGAGTAACCTGAAGTAGGATCATGGAGGAGTACTAAAATCGCAGAAAAAATTAGTGGATTATGCCAACACTACTAACGTTGAATTCATTGTTGACCCGAAGGTTTTATTCCATGGGTGATTAATTTACAGCTATTTGCAAATATTTAAGTTGATCAAGTGGAAGTGACTGCCAGGGGACTCAGGGGGGTGTGGAGATTGGTTTTTTGCAACATTATGACATGATCATATTGCTTACGTAGATGATACAGCATGTCCAGGCAGAAAAACAGCATTTTGATAAATGGGCGTGCGCTGAACCGTGAACCTGTCCCTTTTAAAAACAGTGAGTACTTGACTAAAAATGACTGTTGTTTCGTCATTCGCGGTTATTATGGCAACGTATTCCAAGGGTTATTCAATATTTAAGATTTACTACACTACTAACTACAAAATTAAACCGGTAACCCCCCCCCCCCCAACTCTTTTCTAGCTTTAGGCGAGAAACATGCGCAGAGGTTTTAAAAGTAATTCTACAGCGCAATTTTTTCATTAAAAAGGATCCAATAACATCAGTTAAGAAAGGCGGTTTTCCCCAAAAAAGTCAGCTGTCTCCTTTTAATTTACTGTTTAAAGTTTAACTATGGCGCACTTTAAGTTAAGTGACGTTCGGTGGATACCTGTTGCGCGATATGAAATTGTTTTTTTTTTTTATTTTGTTTGAAAAAACAACAACAGTAGAGCTACACCGTCATCTGTTTAAAGACAGTTTGGTTTGTCTTGCATAGCGTTAAACCTTTCGTGCACACAAGGACATTATCACCTACTAGTCCCGGTAATTTAGCTCAGTGTACGTTAACTAAAAAACAGGCAGGCCGTGTTGCCCAGCTCTTAAGATGAACGAATATTTTGCTGCCTTTTTTGCCATTCTCTTATTTCAGCTTTTAACAACACTGGGTCCGAATCCCGTTGAAGCCCTGGTTTTTTTTTTCAGGCTTCTTCTTTCCAACTTCTTAAATTGGAAAATTTACTGCGATGATCATTCTTCACTTTCATCTACAACCGCAGTTCAAAAATAATTTATTTCATATACTTCACAATACTGGGTTTATTTGTCAGAAAACTGTTCGTTACCGATCTCTCTTTTCGATTTAAATCTTTATGTAATTTTTCCATATATTCCAGTGATGGTACCAGACTGGAAAGGTCAAAATAGGGGCATCTAATCTTAACTTGACTCTGAAATGATGACCTACTGAAAGAGTCAGTCACCCTTAACTACATCTTCCATTAACAAAGCAGCTGAACATAAGGTTCATTAGGGTAAAAATTTCAAATCATCAATAAGGTCTTTGACTGATAAAACAGAACTGCTTGCTAACATTGAAACATCTACAAGAGAGAGGGATCAGATCTCGAGGTTTGACATACTGTTAAAAAGGTTGGTACGTTCGTTATTTATTGCTGTGGTTGTTCTTGTTTTTATTTTTTGTTATTGTCTTTGTCTGTCTTTTCCATGGCCAACTTTCAATCGCACTTTTTTGACACCAATCACTCAACGTTCATTCACGACCATAGCGGAAAAGAGAAAATAAAAAAAAACTGGACGCTCGCAACTGAACTTTTACCAGCGTTGAAAATTCTATTACTTTCGATTACCGTGTTTCAGTCAGTAAAACAGAGAGGGATTAGCTTTTGTATTTTTACTGGTAAGATTTTTGAGTGGCAATAATAACAGGTAACGAAAAAAATAGAATTTAAGTCGAGTGGAATTTAAAGAAAATCAACTGCTTAACCTAGCTTTCGTCATGATAACGGTTTACCCCCCGGCTTACTGAGTTTATGTTATGTTCGTTTACGTCTTACTTAGCTCTTTGATCAAACAGGATGGAATAACAGAAATATGCACAGATTGACACACAGAATATGCACTTAGGTATGCATGTTCTGTAAGAATCCCATTAAAACCTAACATTCACCCACAAGCAAAGTATAACGTTCACCTCAGCCATATCTTAAGATGAACCAAGTTTTCCGGCCTAAAGTTCGTGGCTGTGATTGGCTGACTGATTGTTTTTGGAAGGTATCCTTAATTGTATTGTATTTTTTAAACCACTACTATAGGGAGTTTCTGGAGCTTAACTACCCCGTTCTTTTTGTTTCCTTTTTTAATTCTCGCAAAGAAACTATGACTTCGTGGGAGGGCGGCTTCTTTACTACCACCAGTAATACCAAAAGGACAGAAAGGAAAGAAATATCAGTTGAAGATTAAACCGTGTTCCATTCAAATTTCACTCACAGCTTGAGAGGATAAAAAGAACATCTTTGCTGAACATTACCGATACGAAAAAAAAAAACTTGAAAAATCGAACTAAGGGCCATTATTGATAACTTGTAAAGCATCTCATTGAGGCCGAATCCAAAATCTTTAAAAATCATTGGCTAATAGCTCGCCGGCTCTATAGCATAAAGATAAACTGTCGCCTTGCGGACACCCCGATAATACAAACAGCAATTAAACCCCAGGCAAACATAAATTACAGATGTTTGACCGAAATAAACTCCTGTTATTTCGGGCGGAACTCAAGGTCCCTAGAGTCTCCGCTATAAAGAGAGATGACTGCAATTCTCCACCTCCGAGTCCTGAAATATGACCTTGATTTTGATATGTGATATGATTTTGATGATGATGATGATGCTGATGATTCATTATTATTTCTGGCCGCAGGGAGGCCATTTGGCTCAGTTCAACTTATTACAAAACCGTTTGCCACGTCCTGCAGACAAAAAACTTTTCCCGAAAATGTATTTGCTTAATTCTAGAAAACATGATTTGCAGGTAATTTAAGTTCAATGTTTCTTTCGCCATAATACAGGTCAACTCCCTTTATGGTGGACACTGTGGGGACCTTGAGTCAGTGTCCTCATCAGCGAGGGCCCGTAATAGCGGAAGTTTATTTCATTTAAACATCTGTAATTTATTTTTGCCTGGGGTTTAGCTGCTGTCCGTATTAGCGGGGTGTTCGCAAGGCGAGGGTTGACTGTAGAAGGAATATGGTTAATAGTAACCTCACTTTAATTTTAACTTTAAAGGGTTCTTTACAACGAAACTTATGTGGACTTCTTTGATTTTTCTGCCATTTTTTCTGGCTTTGGCCGTCGATCGCGAAAGCCAAGGTACGTTAATGTGCATTTACTTAAATGAAGTTTTAAGTTTTGATCTTTAAATTTGAATCTTTATTGCTTACTTACCTTAAATGATTTACATTTAGAAGAAACTCTTAAAAAGAAAAAATATATCGCTCTCTTTGAGGAAGATTTGAAGCACATGGAGTGTGCAGATGAAAAAGTACGTATTTAAAAAGTGATCAGACGGGAAACTTCACCCATGTACAATACGTTTTAAGCATACTGAGATACGCCCCCCCTGACATAAAAGACGTTTCCCTACATGTGCCAATCCATATGATGTGTTGCTCCCCCTGTTACCGTTGGTCTAGCCTGCGTCGCAAGCTTTCCGTTTGGTTTCGGAGCAAGAAAGACCGTGTAACGGAATTTTCGGTTTTGGCCGCGCGAAAAATGTAACGAGAGCTAAAAAATGAAAGAGGGGAGAGGGGAAGGAAGGAAACGCGTTTCCTTATTTTCTTCCCCGCCGCCTCCCCGTTCTTTTACTCGCGCCAATTTGCGCGTGGTCTCTGACTCTCGTTCCTCGTTCTTTGCTTCGAAACCAAACGGAAAGCTTGCTACGCAGGCTATTGTTACTGCAAACGCTCAATTGTCATCTGACATTAATGGTGCCGTTTACTCACTTACTTCTACGGTCTTTACAGTGCTTTTCAAAGGTGGTTCGCGTTCACTTCAGTGTGAATACCGGGCCATTTTAAACGGACAGCAACAATAACACTGATACCGACTCCCAGGATGAGTTTAAAACTATAATTTCCATCGAGACAATCGTAACAATATTAACGCCGTAAACTGCTGCTATAAGCTCCCGCGGATCTAACCCCCACCTACGCCTAGCTTGAATTTAAATGAAGTTGTAAATTCTAAACGTATTTTGATCCCTCGGATATAAGCCCCTCCGTTTATTACCCCTTCAAGCAAACCTTAGGACGATGAATAAGATTAGGGAAAGTGCCCAGGGCTTATACATGTAAGCATTAATTTAAGATTTTTCGACAGCACAACAGTGTTAAATCAATGAATTTCTTCATGGAAAGAACATAGCCTTTAATCACGGAACATTTAGGTATACCCAAGGGGGTAGGACAAAAAAAAAACACTGCATCTCTGTCAAGAACGACTCGGGGCCTGGTGTGGCAAAATACGGTGAATTGTACGACTGAAATAGCCCACGTTCGATATACTAAAATTTTGACATGACTTCGAGGTTTAGGGTAAAAAATTTCAAATTTTTGACGACTCTGTTGTCTTGCAATTCCCAGATAAAATGACTAGAAAGCGTCGGAGTCATGTCAGAATTTTCAGATATCGAGCGTGTGCTTTTGTCCACCTGTGCAACGGGGGAAAGGTCTATTGTCCGCTCTTAGATCAGTGAGTCACTTGTACCTTTAAGACATGGTATTACTGGTGCAAGAGAGGGACAAAGAGAGGTGCAGCAACAAACAGAACGTCCCTTATTGCAATATTCTCACTGAATAATTAATTAACGCATCGTGAAATGACCAGTAAAATACTCCGCCATGCTTAGGGACGCATCAGTGCACTGCAGGCTCTCCTTATAATTAGAATACACCACCTGGCTTTAATTTCACTGTAATTTTATCCAGTGATTCTTACCTCATAGAAAAGGGACACTGCGAAGCCAAAAGTAACGTCAAACTTTGAAGGTGTAAATAACGATGAGGGGAAGACAGGAGACGCAGGAAAGACTGGGACCGATATTCTGACTGAAGGCCAACCTGGCTGGATGAAGGAACTTTTAAAAAAGACTTCAAAAGAGGTAAGAGTACATTGAACGGAAGGCGCAACCACCCTCACGGCAAATTGGTCAGTCATACTCTGCTGGCGGATAGGCTTAGATGAGAGCTTCTATCCCATGACACGGCGTCATAGCTTGATGAATTCTTTTTTATCAATTTTTTTTCAAATAGTATCAATTTTAAAGAAGCTGGCATAACTCAGGCGCCTATTCGCAGAATAATAGTAATTATACCAAACGTTTATTACCTGATTGGCTGTCAGTAGCCCTGATTTCGTAGCCTGTTCCAAGCTCCGAGACAGTCGGGTCCCACGTTTCAACGCACGTCAACCAGAAGTGGACTTTTTGCAATATTTGGGGCGTGATTTTGACCAAATTTTCGGGCAAAACGTCTCTATGCGAGAAAAGACACATAGGGAAACAAATTTGGAAGCGTCATGTCATATCGAAAGAACTCTCTTCCGGTTGGTGTGCGTCGCTCAAAAACATCTTTGCTTAAACTCCCTTCGCAAACACGAAAATATATCGGGAGGAAACTGGGGAGAGGAAGCGCCAGTACACACGGTTATATTTTCGCGTTATCCCTACTATCTGAGAGCCTGGAAAAGGCTACTGATTTTGCACCCTTCATCTCTCGCCTCTAATATATATCTTTTAAGGATTTTTATTCTCTTTAGAGATGACGTTCAAATGGAAAAAAACGAGCTGAGAAATGTCATATTTTTTGTAGGCTACAAGAAGTCTCTTGTCTTTCTTTCATAGCACGTAAAGCGCAACGCCAAAAGTAAAGAGCCACGAGTGTTACTGAGGCAACGCAGCTCTTGCTTCTCGTGTCTCAAAGCGCCCATAACACGCAGCTCACTTTGGAAAAAACGAATAAATGACTACTGGCATTTTATTGTCTCTATTTGAGTACCTTTGTATTTTCTTTCCAGTTAAAATCTAAATCGAATGAAAAGGAGCAGGTTTCAGCAAAAGAAGGAGAACAAATTTCAGAAGGCGACATTGACATTCACTTGGAAGATGCAAGTAAGGTGCAAGGTGTATTTCAGACTAGTTTAACCGACATCATTATTCACTAAATGAAATTTAAATAATAACAGTAAAAAGTCAGTTGGAGCCGTCTAAGTAGGTATAAACCACTATTACCGTAATAGGATATTAAAAAAGAATTACTAAGTTTTTGTATTGGAACTGCGGGATGAAGAAATACATGTATAGAAGATTATCGAAGTGAAAAACGTAAGAGCTGTGAAAAGATTTTAAACACCTTCCTGTTTTTTTTTCTTCGATCCTTCCGTCGAGTGGGAGGCTCGCTTCGCTTGCCCAAATAGGAGAGCTTGCTCGCAGGCTAAGTGGATCTTTAGACTCTACTCGGGTAGGATTCACAAAGAAATCGTTAAAAGGTTATGCTACCTAGGTACGTCAAGTCAGGAACTCAAGTCGTTTGAAAGCTACCTTACAGTCCGCATGCAGCTAACACGGGTCAGCACCTCACTATCGGATCAGCTCACAGTAAATTATGGCGTGCCGCAAGGGTCTATCTTGCGCCCTGCAATGTTAAGTCTACATATGTATGATCTCCCAAACGCAGTCCAGTTTAGCAGCGTGGAATCTTATGTGGATGATACGAAGATTTTTCTGTCCCTCTCGTCTAAGGATGTTGACCTCTCTCTGGAGAGAAACTCTGAAGACCTCCGCCATGCTGCCAAGTAGTGCTGCTCAAATCAACTGCTGATTACTCCTAGCGAAACCAAACTCATTGTGCTTCGAGCCAGACAGCTTTTGACGCAAGTCAGGAAAACTTGTGACATGAGTGTACCCGTTCTTTGGACAAGCGCTCGTTCCTGTTTCGTCTGTCAAGTATTTAAGAATTGTACTGAACTCGCATTGAACTTTTAATGAACATTTTACCTGCATAACGTCTTCTCGCTTGTCTACCTTGTGTCAGATAAGTTGGGTTAGGTATCTGTTCTCTAGACCTGTTCTGATCCTAAACTCGCTTGTACTTACTAAGTTATTCTGTTATACGTTTCTGGGCTGGTACCATCAAGCAAAACCTACAAAAGTTACAACTGGTGTAAAACTTTGCTGCTCTTCTTGTGACTAACACTAAGAAGCTCGATCATGTTACAGTGGCCCTCAGTCAAGAGTCAACTGGAAGTACGAGATGTCTGCGCTTTAGTATTATATTATCAATTGCCTTGTGCCTGCCTGCTAAGCCAGTAACATCGGCAAAAGGTCGGATACACATAATTACAGCGCAAGGCATAAAGATCAGTTACAATTTCCTTTGTAAATTATCTCAGAATAGCCCCCCCCCGCCCCTCGCGAGAGATAATGAAGTTATTGTATTGTAAAATCGGCTAACCTCAATGAAGCTGTGTTTTTCCCTTTTGTGTGTGATTCCTGAGCCTGTTTGTTCTTTTATATATATCATATGGAGAACAGACTAGTTTCAACAAAACCCATACAATGGCCCTGGAAAGAAGAAATTCACATCACCGTGAGGTTACTCGATTTGCATTAAATTTCTTTCACATTCGCGGGCTACAGAAATAATCGTTTCCTTTATACAAATCCTTATATTTTGAAGGTTATGCTGGCAACATTACGGTAATCTTTCGACCTTGGGTCACCTGTGCCTTAAAAAGTCAAAACCACATGTTTTGGCAACGCACATACCCATAACACTTCTAACGAGAAAGTGACCACGAAAACTGAAACGGTCATATGATTGTGTTATTCATCCTTTCGCTGAATGAAATTGTTGTTTTCCAGTTTTTCTCCTTCACTTGTTAGGCCCTGTTTAAACGCTTCGGAAAAATATTTGAACGGACAAAAAATGCACGAATTCGACTTTCGGTTACTCGGGGCCCGCGGAACCGTGCAAGTTATCGAACGGTAAACAAAACTGCAACCCGTAACATAATTTGCACGGGTAAAAAGATTCGTCCGTTAAAAAGTTTGTCCGAACCTTTGTAAACGGTGTCGTCATTACAACGGCCGCTACTTATGCTTTGATTTTAATTTCAGTCCCATGCGACGCTATCAGCACACTGCAAACTGCTTTTGGAGAATTGGGAACACAAGCAACGGGCGCTATGAATGGTGTAACTGAGCTAAAGGGACAGTGGAATGAGATCTCGTTCGGTGATAGAGCGGTTATGACGCAGACTCTACAGGCCGCTGCCTCAAATATTCATACGTTTTTAAATGCGGGAAGTGATCCAATTGGCCCAATACAGGGAGCACTCAACATGGTGGCACAGTTTGCAGCTCTTGCCGGTCCCACTGGCCAAATTGCTGCCGTCGCCTTAAGCTTCGTCTCCGGGTATCTGAGTCTTTTTGGAGTGGGAGGACAGGAAAAGAAATCTATCGGAGAAATTGTACGTGAAGAAATAGATGAGGCATTGGCACAATTCTATGAGAGCGATCTTAGTAATAAGGCTAAAGGCATTACCAGTACATTCCAAGTTTCCAAGGCATATTTGGATAAGCTGGCCCAGTCAGGCAAAAAGCTTACCGTTTCTCAGGCGGCGTCACTTGAGAGGAATGTGCCACTGTATCTTGGCCTCCCCTTCATGGGAAAATTGGCAAGTGAAATTAACGGTCTCCTGAAGGTCAACAAAATAAGCGATGCCAAAAAGACATTGAAATACATTGAGCTGTATACAAAAATGGCGATTCTTAAAGACATGATCATGCAGGAAGCGGCGACTTTGTTACCTATCGACCTAGAACCCAACCGACAAGCCTTGTTAGCTGCTCAGGAATCTATGCGCGATCAGCAAAAGCATCTGATAAGATTCCTTCGCCAAGGTAAAATTGGCAAGATGGCACTAAATTACTTCGACCCTGACGTGAGCCCATTCACAGATTCCTATTTGACGAAGGTGCTGAAAGTACCCGATTATGATCGTTCCATGGCTGGAAGATGGTGTCTGACGCCACAAATTTCTGGTCAAAAGCTGAATCCAATCACGTGGACGACAGACGAGAACAGCTTAATGAAGGACGGTCACCCCTACATTACAACTGCGATTGAAAACTGCCACTGGAAACTTATCCCCCATGGTAACAATCTCTACACAGTGCAGAACATCTACAAGTGTCCTAAGTATGGCTACTGTGAACAGTACCTGTCGTTTGATATATTATCTGGCGAGGACAGCCGATTGACATTAAAGACATACGCAGATCTTTGGGAAATCTGTGGTGTTCGCCAAAAGAGGTAGGAGTTTTTCTCACCTCCTAGGCCACAGATACATTAAAGGTTTTCCTGTTTTTCTGTTACAGAGAATAGAGCCTGTAAGCATCTTTTAAAATACAGTAGAATCCAATACCTCGAACACCCCCTTAACTGGAACTAAGTACAATTTCCCTTGGATTTCATCCCACTTTCCAGTCGTTTTTACTAGACAAACTCGAACTCGGATAACTGGAATTCCCCGCTAACTTGAACTAAATTTCCTCACCCTTGATCAAAAAGTCATTGAAAATTACCCCGATAACTCGAATTCTAGTTCTTGTAACTATACTCGGTTGCCATTCCATTGGCTCTGGTTGTACAATCAGTAAAAAGACACTATCTCTAAGAGTGGTTAAGACACTCACGAACAGATCACGTTTTATAAAAGAAAATGCCTATGTTACCGTTTCTGATAAAATAAGTTAAACTTGCACTGCAATAGCAATATACACTGCCGGAAGTGTTGAAAAATCAGCGAGTGTCAATTTTTAGCACTGAAAATTGAATTTTCCAATCGACCCCGGTAGTTCGAGTCACCGGTGTTCTACTGTACCTCAGTCCACCCATTTTTCTCCCTCTCTCCTCTCCTCTCCCACCTTCTGAAAAACCGTTTCTTGTGTCAAAATTTCGAAACGTGCTGTGTAAGAGGGCTTTACAGGCTCGCCAAGTTTGTTAAGACCCTACGCGCGCAAAAACCACATGATTGACGAACGTGTTGACGTTAACTGTTAAAATTGTCCAATTATAAGGTATATCAAAAGCCTGTATATCGGAAACAGGTTTGAAACAATTCTTACAGGCTTCACTTCTCCGTCTATCCCCAGGCTCCAGCGATCATTTCCTTATTTCGGGCGTTAACATTTGATTAGTACATTACACATACTACTCCCACAATATCATTCCACAGGATTCGCAGTAAAAGGGGCTGCGACTCTAAGAGCAAATGGTGCAACAGGCAGCTTACAAGTCGGAAAGAATCTACAGGGGGCTGGAGATCGAAGGAGGTTCGTACATTTTATCTGACAGCGAAGAACGTCGGCTTTGTTTGGTCAGTCACAAAGGTACGTCTGAAAAAGATTCTGATATTTTATTTATCCCTTAATTTTACCAGTTTTTGAAGAATAAACCCAACAGTTGAAAGGCAATTTCCGCCGGCTTCCAACTCTTTCGTATCCCTTTAAACCCACGAACAAAAAGTATGTGTCGTGAAATTAGGGAATAATTTCACTTGCGTATTGTCCAAATCCTAATAATTTCCCTCGCCTTTTGGATTACCTATTAATGTAATGGGTGACGAATTACGTTAGCAATCGAGGAATTTTGATTATCTTGGATCGTATCGATCGAGAACTTCACTCTCTCAAACGTCTAGAGCTTAAATTTGGCTTAAGTTGAGAATTTTCAGAATTGTTCGACAAAATACTTGTTAGAATCCTCCTCGATGTACTCTTTCGTTTGTTTAGGTTCTCTAAACTGTCTTTTAATGCCCTGACATCTTCATTCATAACATTTTAGAACTTCGTCGCCATTTTGGCACTGAGACGTAGTGAAGGTTGCCATGGCAATTTTGTAACTTCATAAGTGAAATTATAAATTAGTGTAGGTAATAGCATGATCCGTAGTCATATTTAGTATAAATACCATGAGTGATACTTCGAAATTGTTTACGTAATTTCAAGAGCCGTTTCTGCGAGTGAAATTTGAGACAATTGAAATATCACGAGTGGTTTTTATGCAAATGTCCCGTACAAATCATGCTATTAGTATAGGTAATAGCATGATTTGTAGTGATATTTGGCATAAAAACCACGAGTGATATTTCGAAATTGCTATACGTAATTTCATGAGCCTTTACCAGAGTGAAATTTGAGACAATTTTGAAATATCACGAGTGGCATTTATACCAAATATCACGTACAAATCATGCTATTAACTGTTTGTACTACTACCCACAAAAGGTTTGTAATTTTCTCATAGGTATTTCAAATTAAGCTGAAATACCACTGCTCTAAGCCAATCCAATTGCAGAAATTTCTCATGTAGTAGTATAAGAGCAGAAAAACGTTCGGTGTATCCGTTAGTGCAGGTTCAAGGAGGAGGTTCACGTCAAAATTACCTCAGACTCAAAAAAAAAGGAAAAACGGTTCATGCCGTCGCCGTTCTCGCCAAGAGATTGTCACTTTTACAATGAATACTAGTTTCTTCATTGCAGTTATTGCAACTCGCGGCTCCCATGAGAAATTGTCTTTTTGGTATTATTACAAATAACTAATTATGTCTATAGCCTTTGAAAAATGTAAAAAAGAATGCGATATGACTTGAATTATTCTGCTACAAGGTCTTTGTCGACTGAAAACTAAAATTACTCAATTTTATGATGGTTTCTGTCTTACGATTTTACTTGTTATTTATACCCAGAAACCCATGAAGGGCTACGCAGGCCGAAAGAAGTCAGAGGAGTAATGCTACTTATGGTGTAATGGTGTACCACAAGGGTTTGTGTTAAGGGCCCCTGCATTTCTTGTTATATGTAAATGATAAATCTTATCGCTCCGAATAATTTAAATTCTTTGCATTGCGGATGGAACTGAAATCCTTTCAAAACCTTGTAAAAGTGGAAGCAACGGTAAAAATTGAATAATGAAAGTCAGATAATTGGATAACAGCAAATATTGTAACGTCAAATGCTGTAACGTCAATTTGTGCCCCTATCTATTTAAGTTCATAATCCTTCTCGATGTTATATATTTTTAATAATAGTAAAAAAGTGTAAATGTTAAGGAGAAAGAGAGATTTAAACATGAAGTGAAAGTGTTAATAGATGAGAAATTGTCATGGAGGAACCACATTCACACAGTAGCTACAAATATAAGTCAAACTATGGCGATGCTAACTAACGAAGACATTTTGTACATTTATAATACACTAATAACCCCTTGCTTAACCTCTATGTCCTTATTTGTTGGGGAAGAGCCCGTGAAACGAATCCTTACAAAATAACAATCCTTCAGAAACGTGCAATAGGTTTTAATGTATTCTACCGTCACGGTTCAGAGCACGCCAGAGGTGTATGTATCTTGTGAAAGCAAACAGCTTTGGTTTAGAAGCAACAGTCATTGACACGGACGGGCGATATATCTTTGCCATGCAGTGTTAAATTACCCAACGAGGAGCTTACGATAACTAACGTTTATCCTCCAACAGATTATCAGCTTCAAATGCCCTTTCTGAGAAAACTTACTCATCTCTTGATATCGACAGCTTGCATATCACACGTCATTTTGGTCGGAGATTGGAACACAACGCTCAATCAAATAGATAAGAAACGTGGACGTCCATGGAAGGCACCGGAACCTACAGCAATGGTCTATTATATGTAATGAAAGAGTTAAACCTTGCTGACTTCTATAGACTACTCCACCCAAACACAGAAACGTGTACATGTGAATCAAAAAGTCTTCGTTAACAGTTTCGCTTCTGGCACTGATCCAACTCACAAGATTGAGAAGCCTTTGATGTCAAAGCTAAGCTCAATTCTGTTTGCGAGGGCATTGAGCTTCTGAAATTAAATTTTGAATCGTTGAAAGGGTCGACTGATCTTTCCACCAAGTCTGGCCCAATCGAAACTTTTGAAAAGGAGAATGCAGTAGACCACACGGTATTACTGTCTGAATCAAGCGCCTACGGAATTCAAGAAAATGCTTACAATTGGTTTAAATCATACTTAGAAAACCGAACTCAAACATGTTCTGTTAGTGGTTCACTTTTCAAGACCTGCTCTCTCCAATGTGGTATCCCTCAAGGGGCTGTATTGGGTCCTCTACGTTTTTTGCTATACATAAACGACTTACCAAATTGCTTAACAAACTCTTGCTCTAGAATGTATACCGATGATACGAATCTTAATCACGCTGATAAAGATGTGAAACGTGAATATCATTCAGTCCTGTTTGAATACAGACTTGCTAAATATCAGTAAACGGCTGATCGCTAACAAACTCACACTTAATATGACTAAGATTGAGTTTATGCTAATCGGCTCGAGACAAAAGCTAAACACCCTAACTGCCTCTCCCGTTCTGAGCATCAATGGTACTCCCGTAAACCAGGTATCAACGTTAAATCTCTAGGTGTACTCATTGATGCAATCCTTACCTGGGGCAGTCATATCGAGAAACTGGCTAAAAAATTGCCTCTGGTATTGCCGCTATCAAACGGGTCAGGCAATTTGTTCTCCCAGCAACATTGCATCTTATCTACGAAGCCTTGATTCAGCCGCATTTCGACTATTGCAATGTTGTTTGGGGAACCTGTGGCATAAAACTAGCAGACAAACTTCTAAAACTCTAAAATCGTGCAGCGCGAGCTCCAACTTTCTCAAGCAGATGAGATGCATCATGTAGACATCATATACGTAATAAAATGTTGCGCAAGAGTAAAGACATTACCGCCAAAATAATCAGAGAAAAACAGTTCTCTAGTAGCAATTAAGTTAAAACTTCAAAAGTAGCACAAGCTAGCCTCAAATTGTAAGGATAGAGAGACATTTAGATTTTAAGTTAATAAAGTTATTTTAAAGTTAATTCCGCGTCAACACTACAAAAATGCCAAAGAACTGTGCACGAAAATAAGTACAACTCATTAATCAACCTATTGATGCCATACCCACGTCATACACGTAATTGTCAATTTATGGTATAAACAGAGTTGTGACACATAGTTAATGCAATAAGTCCAACGGCGCGTAAGCGACCGGACAAGCTGAAACTGTAAAATTCCGCTGAAGAAGACAGTACAGTCGAAACCGGTCCAGAAAATGGCTTGTTTTGGTTGAGACGGCTGGATCGGTACCCAACCATAAGTACCATCCTTAATTTCCACTGCGAAACCGCAAGGCAGGTTCCGTTACAGGGGATGGGAAACATGCTGAACCTAGACTCCTCCTTCTGGCAAGAGAGCCCGTGCAAATTATATATATATACAAAT